AATTATAGGTCACTAGTGGAGCTGGAACCGGTTAGTTCATTATCATTTTTATTTTCTATTTATTTTTATGTATTGTCTATATTTGATTATTATTATACTATGCATAACTCAATTGATGATTTTTATGGTCTTTTTGGTTATTTGTTTTTCTTGTATTGTGTACTGGTATTTCGGTCATTGGTTATTTGGCTTTGTTAAACTATATTGTTGTTTAAGTAAACTGTGAGTATAAAATGAGATATGGTTATTATTTGGTTGATTGTTATACTGATAGAAATCTGTATGGGAAAGACTTACTGGGTACCCGAAAAATGGCGGACGGGCCTGGTATATAGGAAACCTTACGGTGAACGTTACCTCAGTCGGATGGGGTTGATAAGTTATTTACTAGTAAAGTTTGAGAGATATAGTTCACTTTCATACCGGACGGGGTATCGAGGTGGTAGAATGTTTGACGCCCACTACCGGACGGGATATGGGGACAGTCAGTTAATTGTTTAATTGGATACTGGGTTCACGAGTAGGAGGACATCCCTATGGACCCTCAAGGGTACCGGTAAGCGGGTAAAAATATAAACTGATCGTTTCTTCTTATCTTTTATGTAATAAATTATAATGTATGAATATGAGTTTTTATAAGTTATTGTTGGGAAATACTTGTTACACAAATATAGAATAAATGACTTTTGTTTATAGTAAATGAATTTACATTAAATTAAGAGCTCAATTTGTTATTTTTTTATTTATACTAGTCTTCAGTTTTTTATATCTGTGATTAATGTGATATTCTTACTGGAGCAGTGTAGTTCACCCATTCGTTAATTATTTCAGGTCAAGATTATTAAGATCCAGATCCTTATCAACAAGGAAGTTGTGAATAGCTCACCACCCGGACTCCATTCAAAAGCTAGTGAAGGTCGTCATAAAATTGATTAACTATTTGTCTTTCGTTTATTTATTTAATTTTTGTTTGTTCTTTTAAAATGGATATTACCGTAATCTTATTGGACATTTTAAGGTATTGTGTAAGGAATGTAAATTCTAACTCTATTATTTTGCTATCGTATTTAATTTATAACTTTATTTCTATTTAAATTATAAACCTTTATAAATAAACTATTATATTTTAGTTGCTATTATTTTTTAATCATTTAATGGTAAAAGTTCAATTTATACCAATAATAATTCAATATGAGGATTTGGAGAATTTTCTAATGGAAGGTGATTATGTTGTTGTCGTATTGTGGTTGGTTGGTAATTAATTTATGTGTAAATTAAACATGATTGAAACGAGTAAAGAAAAAAAAAACTTTATTAAGAACTTGGGAAATCTATAATTTATAAATATAAATATAGAGACTATAGGTATATAGAGTGTTAATGTCACATAATGGATGATTATTGTTGGTAATAGTTAGTGCAACGAAATAATTAATGGACATTAATGACAGTGAGAGAGAAACGCCAGTATATATAATAATTAATAATTATAAAACGGGACAATTACTATCTTAAATAAGACGAATGAAAAAGAAAAAATATTATAATGAGTATTACGATAAATATTATGTGATATATTTAATATAATCATTATAGGAGAAGGAAATGATTGTGAAATAGCCATGCGAAGACGATGAAGCCTGTTTGAATAAAGAGTTCGCATTTAAGGGCGCTCAAATCTCAAATCCCTCTATAAGGTCCAAACTTTTTTAACGACCCTAATATAAACTCACGAGTAAATAGTTTATAATTACTTTAATGAAGATATTTTCAAGTGAATAATCTATAATAGAGTTTAAAAAAACATATCAAAAGAATAACTTTCAATATAATGACTTATATCTTATGAGTCAAAACTCACCGTATGTAACGGCCCCGGAAAATATTAAAATGAAATGAGTATTTAAATATATCGAATGCGGAAGCGAGATCAAAATTTAAAGTTAACATCCCTTACATGAAAAACCAAACAAACGTACTTAAAATATAAAAGGTTAAACTAACTAAGAAAGAAAACTCGAAAATAAACTATGCGTATGACTACAGAGTCTCTAGGCATCCCCTTCGTCGTCCTCCTGCGGAACGGGCTCGGGAACCATGTCTTCCTGATCTGAAATGGTTAATTAAGGAGTGAGCTACACTAGCCCAGTAAGAACATCACGATATCTCACCGTCACGGAGATAAAGGTGGGTAGAAAACCACAAAAAGACCAATGGAGCATAATTTACAATAAACTCGTTTATTAACAACAAAACCTTTTATCAATAATAAATCTTTTACCATCCACTTACCTTGGTGGAATTTATGAAAACAATATGAGAAAAACAATAACATTATCATAATCATTGAATAATCTAAGCTGTAAAACATAACACTTATCACGCCTCTTGTAATTCAATCATTGTACAACATATCTTTTTTTCTCATTTACCAGCCTACTAGTATCCGTGGGGGTCCATAGGGGTTCCGCTACCCGTTAACCTTTAACATTCATAATCAGTTTCCAGGGCCGTCCCCATACCCCGTCCGGTATGGGCGCCAAAACCATGAACCTCAATACCCCGTCCGGTATGAGGGTGAAACGGGCCGTCCCCATACCCCGTCCGGTATGGGCGCCAAAACCATAAACCTCAATACCCCGTCCGGTATGAGGGTGAAACGGGCCGTCCCCATACCCCGTCCGGTATGGGCGCCAAAACCATAAGATCTCCATACCCCGTCCGGCATGTGAGACCACAATCCCGGTAGGGTTCCCTACGGACCCGGTCCGTCCACCATCTCCCAGGATATCTAGTCAGGCTGACCCCCATAATACAATTATCAGTTTACACAATCTTTCATTTTTCCTTTTCCTCAATCAGCATCATCAATTCACATTTAAACAAGCAAATCGTAATTCATACCAAACAGACAACATACAGTATCAGTTTTTCAGTCATTCAACCCATAATTAATAAAAACGTAGTGCATGCACACAAATCTGTAAAATGAACACATCAAACCTCATTTTGCATTTAAAGCTGTAAACAGGCCAAATAACAGTAAATCATCAATCACACTAGACTCGGGCTCCATTAGCAACCTTAAGCAATTTCACACATGCGTTAATTCAAGAAATACTGTTTTATCATTTTGAACTTTAATACCGTGATAGGAAATAGGGTGAGGGGTCCTTACTTGTTTTCGGGATCCGAATACGATTCACAGTGCGCCTGCAAGCTGTCCCTAATTTTCCCCTGAATTTTTCCCGGGGAACTGAAACACGCTAACAGTACCTGCACGGGTTCCAAAAAAAATCCAAATTAGGCCCAGGGCCTCTTTCGGCCCAAATCGCAACTCCGGCACGGCGGCTCCGCCGTGCTCCGGCGACGGCGCCGCCGCTGGCGGCGGCGAGTCGCCTCGGGTTGACTGTTTTCGGCCGTTTTTGGCCGAATTCGGCCACACTCGCATTGGTCCTTGTCAGAAAACAACCCTAGGGCCCTCGGGGGGCCAAAAAATCACGGAAAAACGGAGCTTACCGGCGGCGGCGCTCTCGGGTACGGCGACTCTCCGGCGAAGTTCGTGTTTTGGTGATTTGGCTTCGGTCAACCTGTAGAGAAAAGAATGGTGATCACGATGATATAAAAATTGCATCGAACGGAGGCCGGGAAAGGGCCTCGTCGGAGGCAAAAACCGAGAGGGGGCGCGGCGGTGCCGCTGGGCTTCGGCCGCGTATTCCGGCCGTTTGGCCGGGATTTCGGCTTCGACTTGGCCATAGGAGGAATCAGTGGGGAAAAACGAGTCGGGGGTATGAAATTTACCTCGATCGGCGGTCGGAAATTTCCCCGGTGCGGCGGCGAGTGGCGGCGGGTGGCGGCGGTCGGCCTCTGGTTCGTCTTCTCCGGCGAGCGGCTGGCGGCTAGGGTTTGTGGTCTGGTGTGGAGGTTCTATTTATAACCCCTTGCCTTTTGATCACAGCCGTTCATTTTGTTTTAATCTGGGCCGTTCGTTTTTGATTGAATCTGGGCCGTCCGTGCGATTGAATCTGGGCCGTCCGATCGCGTGATTGATCTGGGCCGTCGGATCGCACCCACGCGGATCGCCAACGTGGCTCCTTTTGGAGTGACGCGGTCTTGCCACGTGGCAGGCCCTGGTTGGCCGGGACTGCTGACCGGGCCTGCTGACGTGGCTGCTGACGTGGCCGCCCTTTTTTTTTTTTTTTTCCTCCTCCTTTCCGGGTGCTACCCCGTATTATTTATTATCAGTTATTGGTGCTTTCATATCGAGAAAATAATAAATATTGTTGATAGTGACATAAGGTTAAAAAAAAAGTATGTAATGAGGAAAACGAAAAAAAGTTTAGATTTTTTTTTTTTAAAAAAAATCTAATGATGAATTTGAATTATGCATAAGAAAAAAATATGTGATAATAGCGTATATAATATATATTTTTATTGATAAGCAAAAATTAACTACATAATAATCTTATCACGTTCATATTTTATTTTTACATTTAAAGTGTTTAAATACATAATTATTTTATTTTAATATATTTAATAGATATATAATAATTATCTATATTATTATATTAGTTTTAATTTAACACGTTTCAAATTTATTTTTATATTTAAAATTTATAAATAAATAACTACTCCATACTTTGTAATATTAAATATAAGATATCTTAAAATGAATAAATAATTAAAATAGTACTGTTTATATATATAATATAAATATCTCAATTAGAATTCCAATATTTAAATTATTTTTATCGTATTTTTATTAAAAGTTATAATTCGCACGATACTTAATAAAATCATATTTTATTTTATTTTTAATAAGATAATATAATCATTATTGATTAACGTTAACTAAAATATATTTAATTAGTTTAAAATATTGAATTAATTAAATATAATAAATTATTAAAAAGTAATTAATTAAAGTACCGAGAATATTCCCAAAGTGAGAAATTATTGTCCAAAAAGTCAGTACGTGCGTTGTCCTCTCTTTTGTCGCTGCGCCAGTAAAAGCAACTCCTTTCGCCATATCTGATTCCCGAAGTAAAATACCCTGGAAAGACAAAAATACAAAAATACCCTTAGAAAACGCACGATGAAAAGACAAAAATACCCTTGGAAAACCCACGACCTTTTTGTCGTCGTATACAACACTCACCTACCATTCACAATTCGTCAACCGTCAACCCATATGTTAAATGTGACCCTTCGCCCTCCTACACCGGTCTTACTATATTATTATTATTATTATTATTATATACATATATATATAATAAACACAATATAATATATACACGTATATATTATTTTTTCCAAAAGAAAACACAATATATGAAATCAGTACAATAAAATAATGAAAACTAACTCTCCACTGTGAAAAAAAGCATAAATAAATAATAAAGCTTGTTAATTTTATAACCATTATTATTATTATTATTTTATATCTATAAAAAAATTTTAGGATCAATTAAAATATGATTTGTGAGGTTGATGAAATTAAAATATAATTTCATAATTAATTTATATACATACATATATATATATATATATAATTTTGTATAATAACTTGATGAGATGATGAATTTCATATTCTAAAAGACTTTATTACATTATAATATTATTTTGTGGAATTTAAGCATTTTAATATATTTTTTTTGGAATAAAATGAACATTTAATTTAGTTAGGAGATGATGGAAGTTTTATTTGAATAAAAAATTAACTATTTAAAAATTTAAAAGGTTAACAAAAATTTGAATATATTATTTTAATTTTATTAAATTTTTTTTGCTATTTTATGTACAAATATATTTATTTATGGTATGGAGAGATAAAAAATAATAAAGATATAAATTTAATTTTTTTTTTCAATTAAATTCCCATTGGGTATGGAGGCCATGACTCTTCTTAACTCTTCGTATTATTATTATTTTTATGTATAATATTATTTATTATAAAATAAATAAATATTTTAAGTTTTTATTTATAAAATAATTTATGTAGAATAATAATATTATCATCAAATAATAATATATTAACTTTTATTAATTAATTTAAATATTAATTTTATTTACTTCTATCACTTTAGCATTGAAAAAATTGTTTGGCAACTAAATTATTTTAATAAAAAAATAATTATCATGGTAGTCGATTTACGCGATTCTAAAAATAAATTATTTTAATATATAAATATATTAAAAAAATGTCGTAATTTTTAATGTCCCTCCATTTACACAAACCTACAATGGGATGAGGTCGTCATCGGTGACGTAGGTTTACCGTCTTGACCAACGGGATATCATTCATTTTCAGTGAAACAACATTTGGTTCTCGTATTCTATGGTTCATGGATACAAGGAGAATCAGTTCTATTCCCCTCTCTAGTATTCAATACTGAAAAACTAAGGTACGAAACCGATTCTCTCATTCTTTATCTCTGTTTAAGACTGTAAGGATTTCTCTCCTTTCTTCTCTTCCAGGATTCTAACCAATCATGGATATTAGCGTTTTGAGCTGTGAGTTTTCTAAGGTCTTTGCTAACAATTTTTGGATTGTTTTTGTTTAGTTTGTAGAACGTTGCGTTGAACTTAAGCTGGATGTGACATTTTTTGTTACTTGATCTTTCTTGTTTGGTTTCTTCTTTTCATTTGCAAATTTCTTTGTCGTTATGATTCTTCTGGAGTTTTTGTTTTTGTTTTTTATTGTTTTTGATAATGAGATTAGTTAATGAGTTTACGTTTCTGAGACATTCTTACTTTTAATTTCTGTATCTTGCTCTTAGTTTTTTTTTTTTTTGGCTTGTGTCTGCTTGCTCTGTTGATTAAAGGACGAATAATTTTGCAGTTTATAGTTTAGTGATTGGATACTGAGAAATGTTAGTGGAAGGAAGGAATTTATCGTTTGTAATGCGAATTTTCTAAATGTTAATGGGAGGAAGGAGTTTATCGTTTGTAATACGAATTTTCTAAAACTAATTCCGTTCAGAGGCTAGTTTGTGTTTCTGTAGTTGTTTTACTATCTCAATGGTTAACCTCTCATCTCTACTTTGTAAGATAAATAGCCTTATCAAGAGATGATCTTATTTTATTTTGTTACAAGAGTATCTAATTGCTAGTTACTTCTATCATTGCTATTCTCTTTTTCTTCTTTTTTGTTCTACTATCAAGATATATCTCTAGCTTCTCCTCAAATTTCAATCCTGATGTGGCCTAAGAGAATAATTTTTCTCAGTGGAAGCTCATTTTTGTTTATTATCTTCTTGCAGGACCTTATTTTATTTTTGTGACTAAAAACAAACTAATTACTGAAAAGAAGAAGGGACAGTGTAGTGTTTTATGCATTCTGATTTGGTGGCCTAGTATCTAGCAGGTTGCGAGAAAATGGCTTTTGGGCCATTGGTTTGGTATTGCCAGCCGGTATCTAATGGGGTGTGGGCCAGAGAAGTGGATAATGCATTTGGTGCATACACGCCTTGTGCCACTGACTCCCTGGTGGTAGCTCTTTCTCATTTGGTTCTACTGGGCCTGTGCCTCTATCGGATATGGCTGATAAAGAAGGATTTCAGTGTCCTCCGCTTCTGTCTGAGGTCAAAATATTATAACTATATGTTGGCATTCTTGGCTGGCTGCTGTACTGCAGAGCCTTTGTTCAGGTTGATAATGGGAATTTCTATTTTGGATTTGGATGGGCAAATGAACCTTGCTCCATTTGAGGTGTGTTTCTTTACTTTCTGGTATTGAATGGTTTTCTTCTTTGCTCTTGGCACAGTGGCGATCGATGTTACTTATGCCTCTTTGATATAAATTAAAGTAATTAGATAAAATGTCATACGCTCTCCAATTATTCAGTAACAGGATTGCATGTTTGTGCAAAGCCTTCTTGATTCATATTGGAGGATGAATAACTTTTTCTATGTATCTGTTACATTTTTCTGATACTTAGCCTGCTAACTGTTTCACGTTCTTATTTGGCGTTGTGTGGATAATATCATAACCACTTCAAGTTGCTACAAATTTGTTTATGAGGTTGCTTAGATGTTTCAAGTTATTAACTTATTTATGAAACTCCATAAGGTTCTGGTTAATGGCCAACCCAAAAGACTAAGTTAACTAATGGTAGTACACAGAAATTTCTCATCTTTTGTGCCACTGGAAGGTACATGCAAGAAGCTTCTTCCACATATATAAGAAAGATACAGATGCTGATTTATTTTTTTTAGATCAGATTTTTTTTTTTAAATCAGTAAAATAGTTAAAGTTGCATTGCTACGATCAACTTTTTTGTGTTTTGTTTGAACAAAGGAAGAATAATATGAAAAGGAGGATAAGCAAAAAGCCAATACAAAATAGTAAAACCACTACAAAACCACAAAAAGCAAAGGAGAGAGGATAAACAAAACCAATACAAAATAGCAGCCTAGTAAAATATCTGAAGAGAAACCCCAAAGAAGACCAGTTAATTGAATGAGTATTTCATCTGTTACTTTGCTTCACAAAAGCTGATCAATGGTACCATCTTTTATTGGTCTTTGTTATAGAGTGTAATATTCATGTATTTCTTAAGTAGTATGCTAGGATTTCGCACAACATCTCTGCATCTACTTGTAAGATAACCAATTTATATCAATCTGAATATCCAGGCTCATAAATGTTTAAGTGTAATGTTAATGTACAATGCAAACAATAAATTAGGCTCTTGACTATCATTTTAAAATTTTAAGATAATTGATTACAATCAAATTGTTTGACATGATATCAAAGATAGATGTCTAATATTCAAATCTTGACCATTTCTTTTTTGTTAAAATTTAATTTCACACAAGATATGAAGGACTCGGACTAGCAAGCCCATTAAGCTAAAACGTGGATCAAGTTCTCGTACCTTATACTGAATTTTAATTAAGAAAATAGGTGACAACCAAAATTTTGAATTCTATGGTCTAGACTTTTGAAACTGATACCGTGTGAAATAAATTATTGCAGCAAAATTTAATTTTTGCATGTCAAAGCATGATAGAGTGTAAATAAAATAGGCCCAGTAGGTTGGGTTTTTAGGATAATGAAGTTAAATTTTTTTCTTTTAATTTAGTATGGTACTGGAATGTGAAGTATTGAGTTCAACCTTGGCCCCTGTTTGTTTATCTGTTGACCTTTATCCTGTAGACCATAGTTGTGCCGTGACTTTCTCTGTATTTTCTAGCCTAGAATTGGGTTTGATTGATTCACATGTAATGCTGTTTACGCATGAGAGGGAGTGTTAAGATTCAATTTAAATAATAAATTGAGTTGCTTTTATCAGCTTAAAGTTGTAGGCTAGTTGGTTACAATCAATTATGTAGTCTATATATTTTTATAAACTATAAAAACAGTGTTTACCTTTTATCCTCATATTACCGTCATTTGATAATAGTGAATTTGTTATCTCAATGTGTCAACGGATATATTCTTGTTTTCCTGGCTGAACCATAATGCAAACGTTAACCTTGATTTATAAAAGAAAGCTTTTGGTATGTTAGTTACTCCAGGTTGTTTGGTAGAGCATCTTCCAGTCTGTTCTTGGTTTCAATTGCAATTTTATGATCCTTCTTTTTTAAGTTTATATTTCCAAATATCTACTTTTTACTAATTAACCAGGATAATATTGAGAGATTGCATTGATGTACTAAGGTAACAAAGAAATTGCAGTTAATAATGATAGATTCCAGGATTTGCATGGACAAAGCTTACATTTCCATAGTTAAGATGCAACCAGCACGCACTTTATTTCACCAATTCCAAAATAAGCTCTAATTTGTTTTTGATATCACCTGAACCCAATACTAGTCTGCATGAAGAATATATCGGCTGCCGTTGACATCAGTGACCTTATTGACAGGCTGTTGCATTTTCTGCACTTACAATATTTTCTATCCACCTTATTTGCAGGTGATTTCCTTGATCATTGAAACTCTTGCTTGGGCCTCCATGCTGGTCGTGACTTGTGTTGAAACTAAAGTTTATATCCGTGAATTTCGATGGTTTGTAAGATTTGGAGTAATTTATACTTTGATAGGGACTGTGGTCATGCTGAATCTTGTTCTTTCAGTGAAGGCGTTCTACAGTAGGTTTGTCTTTCTCATTAATTTTAGTTGAGGGCTTTCTTAGCTGAAGTTGTCCTCTTTCTTTTGAAAGCTTACTTTCTGTCTTCATGTCTATCTCTGTTTCTTCCAGTCTTTTCTCATTTGTTTGTCTCTCTGGTACAGCAAATATATCCCTTTGAAGCTTCACTTTTATGTTTCACTAATATCATTGTGCAGGATAAACTTACAGTTTATGTTTTTGCAGGTCTATACTTTATATTTACTTCAGTGAGGTCTTCGTTCAGGTTTGTGTTCACGTCTTGCTTTCCAAAATTCTTTTTTTTTTCCCATGTCTCTCATTCCTAGGACATTACAGGTCATTTAACATGTAATATTATAAGACCTGCTTAGCCCTAGACTCCTGTACGGTAGGATAGGCTATATTTGAAAAATTTTTTTTATAGAGAAAATTGTAGACCTTTACAATATTTTCCTAATGTTTCTGTTTACCCATTTATTCATCTGGAGGAGGAATTTTTTGGTCCCATTCTGCATTTCAATGCAAACATGAATTAAATGTAAAACAGCCTGCATATTTCTTGGATTGATATTATGTCAATTAAATATTGCTGATTAGGTGATAAAATTCTCATTTTTAATTTATTAACGCCATCTGTACTGTGAGCAGATTAGCTGAAATAAATGTACAATTTATGTGCAAATATGATTTTTTGGGGCTTGTTTGTTATTGTTGATATTTGTGTTGTGAGTTTAGAAGTGTTGTGAAAATGACTGATACATTCTGTTTACTGCAAATTCCAATTTTACAGAATTAGAATGGGAATATAATGCACATATGATAGAAATTTGAATTAAAATATTTCATTCCAAGTCAACTCTGTCTCCAATTCAAGTATTTTTCTGATTTTCTACTTGATAGGTGAGAATTCAAAATCATTGTGGAATCAAAGATACGAGGGAAGCTGGTTAAATTATATACTAAATGTGTAAATATTGACTAATTTCTACATATAAAAATAATTAAGATCTAGGAATTGAATAAGAATAGAATATGTTTAAGCCAAACGCAAGGAAAAACAATTTTAAGATGAAAGCTGTATAGTTTGGTAAATTTTACTGTAAAAGTGTTGTCAAATAAAATAATGATAATTTTTGTTGACATTAGCAACAAATGTTGGAAAGAAACAAATTTTTTGTGATAAAATGTTAATTATTACATTTATTTGAAATAATATTAAATATTTCTCTTGAAATTTTATTGATTACGTAAATTAGTATTTATTCTAATTTAGTTATATTTTATTGCATTCAATATAACTATTAATTTTGAATCATCATTATTTAATGTTTAAATACAAATTATTTCAATAAATAAAAAATAATAATTATAGATTACTTTTAAATTTACATTTTTAAAAATGAAATTAATAAACTAGTAAAATATAAAATTTAGTAGATATATGCATTAAAAATACTATTCACGTGTATTTATTTTACTTCACTTTTATCAAAAGTAAAAAAAGTTTATGCATCAAACTAAAAGCACATTTCTTTTTGGTGTTTGCCAGATTTGGCCAAGTAGGCACTTAGTATGTGCAAATGGCAATTAATTGCATTCTGATTGAATTGTAAAGCATGTTATGATTATCTTTAAGTATTGTCTGTTTCAATCCAGGTTTTGTTTGGAGCACTCTTGTTTGTTTATGTCCCTAATTTGGATTCTTACCCTGGTTATACTCCAATGCCAACTGAATCTGTTGATGATTCTGCGTATCAAGAACTCGCTGGAGGAGAGCAAATTTGTCCTGAACGACGTTGTAACATTCTTGCCAGTATGTACATTTTAAAATTTGTGCTGCCAGTGTTAAAAAAAAAAGGAACTTTATGTTTATTAAACCAATAGGTACCTAACTGATTGGTTAAAAATTATACTTATTTATTCCCCAAAGTTCTATCTCCAAGCTGATTGTTCACAATATATTAATTAGTTATTGATTGTTATTTAATTCCCTCTTTTGAAAAAGGTAATGAAAATGTTCTGAAATTGAAAAATTTAAGTTTAAGAGATCTTTACCAGAGCCTTTAAGTTCTCTAGAAAAAGCTACTCTCATCAGCTTTCAAATTAAATTTTTGGAAAAGCTTATAAGCTACTTGGATCACGGAATTTTTTCAGATGAAAAACTTCTGTACCTCTTTGCTTAGTATACTTATTTTTTGCCTCTTAAATTTTTTTTTTTTTATCCCATGAAAGAATAATTTTAAGCTTTTTCCCAGCCTGGAAGCTTCCTTCTAAATAGAAAATAAGCAAAGCCAAACATCCTCTTTTTTCCCTTTTCATCCTAACTTTTGGCATAGTGCGAAGACAAATTCATCAATGTTCTCTAAATTATTTAGTAAGTTTTGCAGTTCCATAGTTGTCTTCTTTCCTTGTTTTTTCGACAGAAATCTGTTTCTCGTGGATGAATGGTCTCATGGAGCTAGGATATAAAAGACCTCTCACAGAGAAGGATGTGTGGAAATTAGATACATGGGATCGGACTAGAACACTGAATGACAGGTGCGTGCCTACTTTTCCTTTATCTTGGTCTTTGAAGTTCTTAATAATTGAAGTGTCACGGGATTCAGTGACATTTTTTCTTGAACCTGTAGGTTCCAGAGTTGTTGGGTCAAGGAATTACAAAGGCCAAAACCGTGGCTTCTGAGGGCATTGAGTTGTAGCCTTGGGGGAAGGTAAAGGAAGAAACTCTCAGCAGATAGTAATTTCTCTGTCAGACCTTGTTCTATGATTAAACCTGGCATTTTCACCATTAAATAACAATTGAGGATTTGAGACTAAACCAGGAAAAATGAAACAAAAAGAAATATTTGGGGGTCCAAGTGAGAAGATCCTAACAGGAGGAGTTATTTTTATTGTGCTCTTAGGTACTGCAAAAGAAAATAGAGATATCAATCTCTTTTAAAGTCGGTTGGTCCTTTAGACCAAAATGTGAAGGTGGATTTTTTTTTTCCAAAGACAAACAATAAGAGAAAAGATAGTGGAAAAGAAACTTTGGTGATTAGTAACTATAGGCAATTATGGTGGATGCAATGGATGCATAAGGAAAAGTAGTTCTTTGTTCTTATGCTAGTTCTAACTGGCTTTTGTTTTGGAGCTTTTAGATGGGTTGGGGGCTGGGAAGGCCTTTACTTGGTAGTGTTGTAAGCTCTTGTTTTACATTTTTGTTTTAGTTTTGGATTAGGAGACTTTCTTTTTTTCTTTTTTAATAATTGTTCCTTTTTCCCTTTTTTTACATTTTTTATTTTTCTCCTGTTCTCAATAATGCTTCTTCTTTTCTTAAAAAAAGTTGTTCTTTTTTCTGAGGGTATCTTGGTCTCGTTTTTTCACTTTTTTCTTCTCAATAATATTTCCTTTCCTATAAAAAGAATCTTTATAAGAATTTCCTATGTTCTTGTGTCTTTTTGTTGAAATTGACATCTGATACCTATGTCCTTATGTAAAATTTGCATCTAATGTATTTTCTGCCACAAATTTTATAGGTTTTGGTGGGGAGGCTTCTGGAAGGTAATAAATTCACTCTTCTGATTTATTTCAAAGAAAAAAAAAATTCACTCTTTTAATGTTTGTTTGAAAATTTGAAAATTTATTTATTTTAATCTCAGGACAATCTTATCATAGTATCATTTTGTAAGATTTACCTGTGTAGTTGATTAGAATGGTTCTGCTGTTAGATATGAAATACTGAAGAATATGATTGGTGTACAACTAGTGCTGCGTTGATATATTTTCCCTTTTCCCCTCTGATAGTTTATATATACATATCTAAGAAAAAGAGCTACAATTCCTAGGAGGAATATACTCTTGTTATTTTAAAGCTATGGATATTTATGAAATATGAAGAACAAGTTGTCTAAGACTTAGGCTATATTTGGACTTATTAAACAATTATTATGGAATTCATTTGGAAGGATGAAAATTCTTTAGAAGTTGATAAAGGAGTTGACTTCTTAGAAAATCTGATATAAAATTGAAGCAATATGTTCCAAATTCTATAGAAATTGAGGATATTCAGAGCTTATTGTTTTAGTTCCACTTAAAATTCTGTATGAGGTAAATCTTTATCATTTTGTAAGGGGTCTTTATCTACACCTAGTCGACCTAAGCTCCATATAATTTCCAAAAAATTGTCCATTTGTTTCAAACTTAGCCTTTATGTTAGTAAGCCTGGTAGTGGGTACCCATGTATAGTAGCATCATGCAAGCTCAGCCTTAAATGTAGTTCAACAATTTGAGTTTCTGTTTTTTCTTTTGCCTTTTTTTTTCAGTTTTGGTTGTTTCTGACTTGGAACTCGGAATAACTAAATGTTGCCTTTGTGCTGTTAGCCTTTTCCCTTTTATTTAGTGAATTCTTTGAGCATTCATTATTTTATGCAATTTGGTGACAGTTGAAGGCTTAGACTGGAGCTATTGTGTTTGGTTAAATTACTACTGACAAATCTTCTCATCTGTTTTACGCTTTGCATTAACTTGTAGATTGGCAATGATCTTTCCCAGTTTGTGGGGCCACTTTTACTGAACCAGCTCTTACAGGTTAGCTGTTTTGTTCGTTTATTCTTGATCCACATGATAGAAAATTTATTTCAAAGAGCTCTTTATTCTGATTTTTAAATGCGTGTTTATTTTTAAATATGTATCAGAATAGAGGTACTGAGTAATTGTGCTTAAATCAATCCATCCAATGAATGGAACCTGGCCATCCTCTTTAAGTCAAAGTAAAGCTGCCAGTGCTCCTTTAGCCAGCATGTAGCTGGTTTATACTTGCAAATCCATGATTTTGATATATTTCATACACTTGGTAGAACTACTTTTATTGTAAAGTGCCTGTTAGCTTAAGCCTGTCACAGATTAAGGACTAGCAGCATCTCTTTAGTCTTAAAAGATGGTTGGTTTACGAGAACCACTCCAACAGTCACACTTTTGTTATAGCCAGTCATTTTGGGGATTTTGTTGATCTTGTATGCCTATGTTCTCTTGATTATTTCAACAACATTTCTCATTTTGTCTAATGAATTACCTGCAGTCTATGCAACAAGGGGATCCAGCTTGGATTGGTTATGTCTATGCATTCGCAATTTTTGTTGGAGTGGTATGAAATAAAGCTTCTTTCTAATAACAGTCACAGAATTATGCAAAGATATATTAACAATGCTGCCTCTGTTTCTGGCCACTTATATTTATTATGCCATTTTCTGCTTTTCGATGATATTAATTCTTATTACATTCATATGCCTGTTATTAATAGAAAATACTCTATTTCCATCTATCTGAAGATAACTTCATTGCCAATCAACTTCAGCTATGACCAATAAGATGGATAGCCTAACGCTTCTCCTATTCTCTGAAATTCTAACATAATTGACCTCTTCACCTACTAACAAATGGTCAAAGTACTTCCTTTCAATGACCAAAATCTTTATTGTGGAGATATCGGCATGGAAAAGAAGAGAAGCCGTATTGATTGCCATTTGTTTAGCACACAAAAAGTTCTCAGGAGGAATTTTATTTCTCTAAAACTCTCCTTAAAAGTTTCTAAAGAGCTAGCGTCCAATAAATTTGTTGTTGTCGAGTCTTAAAGCTTTGCTCAAGGAGGGCCGGACTAGTTTTTAGAAAAAGTTGTTGTGAACCCTGTTGGAAACGGAAAGTGTATATATTTTTTCTTTTATGTAATATATAGAATAAGACCTATTAAAGTAAGATCCTATTTACGGTGGAATTGTCCCATATATCATTGAATTCCAAGATAATTACGTTTCCTTTTATATAGCTATAGTAACACTATAGATATGTGTGTAATCACTTGTTATATTCACTAAAAATTCAGCTGTCTTCACATGGTATTAGATTATCGGAAAAAGAAAAAATCATAGCTTCTCTTCAATAAAACCTAACAAGTATTTATTGCCAGAGTCAAAACAGAATCCTAAAACTCAAAGAATCGGCCTTAGCCGCACAGAGCTAGAACGCAAGTGGCTCCCAGCTGCTCACTTGCCATAGCAGTTCATGACCAAAAGCTGCACCCAGCTAGCCACATCCAGTTGCAGGTCTCCATCTGCAGTAGCTGCACGACCAACCCCTTCCAGCCGTGATAGCTGTGCGCCTCCGCATGCTTCAACTGCATGACCACTGCTGCTCACCTCTCAAATGGTCGTGCACCAGCCTGTTCGGCCTTAACCAGCCTCCATCACTGGTGGTGTGAAGCTGTGCAGTCCACTTCTTGATCAGCCTTCATCACTAGTAATTTTTTTTAAATAAATCACTAGTAATTTTTTCTACACAAAGTAACCTAGAAGGTGTCGGAAATTACAGAAATAAATTATCCTGCTCAAACAGAGGAGACTATTATATCCCAATTATTCATGGAATTGCAAACCATTCAGGCAGCATATAGGCTGCATTGAAAGATCTCTCTGAAATTGTCCTAACTTCTTCGTACTAAACTGCAGGGAAAAATGAAAATCAGTCACCTCAGATGCACAACATCAAAACTAGGAGATCATTAGTTTGAAGTGTGGGAAAATAGACTCAATGACTATGGCTTTATCATGGAATTCCATGATACTCGAGATTTATGACATGCATTTTCATTTTCTTGCCTACTGCCAAAGACATTTGGACCCACTTCATTAAAGATATTTGAAAGTTAGAGATGGCACCCAGGTATATGAGTTTAAAATGAAGAAGATAGCTGCAACAAAAGGTAACAAAATAATTACAGAATATGCCAATTGGGTGAAAGATGTATGACAAGAACTGGACGACTACAAGGTGTTGAAAAACTAAATGTCTTGAAGATGTTGCTGTCAACAATTCAATTGTGAAGTGTGTGAATGATCTAAACATAAACGTGTACTCTTTCCAGTTGGAGATGCCAACGCTAGCCTTTTTCATAAGATGGTAATGGAAGGAGAAGCAAGAATGTCATCGAGGAACTCGAATTTGGGAATGGTGTCATGGAGAGGAATACCAAGGCTATTGGTAAGGGATTACAAAGTATTTTCATGGATTGCATTGGGAAGAAGACAAGCACAAGCCGTTAATTGAAGGAATCGAGTGGGCCCCTATCCCTATGGATATGGTCGAGAGCATGGAGATATCCTTTAAGGAGGATGAGATTAGACGAGCTCTATGGGATTTGGGCAAGGACAAGGCACTGGGCCCTGATGCATTATATTGAGTTCCTTAAGGATAATTAGGACATTGTGAAGGAGGATTTGATCAAAGTCTTTGAGGAGTTTTTTATTAACGGAAAACATGTAAGAGTATGAATTCCATATTTATTACCCTAATCCTAAAAAAAGACAAGTCTAGGAAAGCATTCGATCTGGGGCCAATAAGCCTTATGATGAGTGTCTACAAAGTTATAGTAAAAATTCTATCTCTTAGATTTAGTGATTCTCTTGATAAGACAATATCCATTCATTAGAGTGCTTTTGTGGGGGATAGACAGATCCTAAATGCATCTCCAGTGGTTAACAAGGTTGTGGAGCGTACTAGGAGATCAATAGGGAAAGACATAGCTCTAAAACCAGACTTTGAGAAGGTGTATGACTGAGTGAATTAAAGATTTCTTGATAAGGTAATGGAGAGAAAAGGATTTAGGATTAGATGGAGAAAATGGATATAGGGATGTCTAACTACATTTTGTCTTGCAGTGCTAGTTAACAAGAAACCCATAGGAATGAGTGAGTGCCTCTAAAGGATTGAGACAAGGGGATCATTTATTCCAATTTCTTTTCACTCGTGTGGTTGATGTTCAGAGAATGATATCCAAGGCTGAGAGTAGGGGATATGTTAAGGGCATGAGGGTAGGAAGGGGACAATGTTGAGGTGTCGTACCTTTAGTTCGCTGATGACATAATTCTATTTCTGTTGCATGATAATGAGTCTACCTCCAAGGTTTTAATTCTCATTTAGGTTTTTGAAATCATTTCGAGTCTAAAGACAAATCTAGGCAAGAGTGAACTGATTGGGATTAACGTGTAGGAGGTCACTATTGATGAATTAGTGACAGATATAGGCTCCAGCTAATTAGAGTGGCCATTCATCTACCTTGGTGTCCCTTTGCGTGGCAACTCAAATAGTAGAAACTTTTGGGAAGGGGTTGAGAACAAAATTGCCAAGCTACTAAAGAGTTGGAAGAGTAGCCTTTTCACGTTAAGATCCTTGGAGGGTTAGCAGATAGGATAGAGGATCACATAAGGAAGTTCCTTTGGATGGTTGGGATGTCACTGTATAAAGGTATACTTATGATCATAGTTCTTATAAAGCCATTTCCTAGGTATACCCTCTTTTTCTTTCTCATACCCAAATCAATGTGGGAAATGGCTCCACCTTGATATTTTGGGAAGATTGTCAGTTGGGTAATCAATCATTAACAGCCAAATTCAAGGATGTACTGGCTTTCCACAAGACCTAGAGCTCTCATATCATTTCAAGATAGAGAGACCCTAGGCATATCAACCCTGATAAAAGTCTTGGCACCTATTACTATTTCTCCCCAGCCTAAACGAAGACTATGGATCTTGGATACATTTGTCATTTTTAGATGTAGATCCTCATTTAGTTACTTCACAAATAATCCCATCGGCCATTCTATGCCTGTTGCTAAAGAATTTTGGAAAGTTCTTGTTCCTACTAAGGTGAAACTTTTTGCGTGGAGGGCAACTCATCAAAAGCTTAACACAAACAATCTGCTCCAAATCTACCGTCCTGTTCGTTCTCTTTTTTTTGATATTTGTGTTTTGTGCTTCCGAGAGGGAGAGACTAATGCACATTTGTTCCTTCATTGTGAGCCAACTTGAAAATTGTGGAATGATGTGCTTAAGCTATTTAGTTGTCTTTTGACTGTGCCTGCTACTGTGAATAACTTCCTCTACACCTCATTAAAGGGGAAGAGATTAGGATTGTGGTAGGGGGCGTTGTTTACTGGGCGTTGGTGTATATAACTGATGTAAAACTTGAGAATTTTTAATAATAGGATCTCTTCTAATTGCTAGATGTGGGAGAGGGGTGACCTTTTTGGCATCCATTTGGACCAAAGCTCATAGTTTATTTTCAGATATTTGCGTCACTGATCTCCATCGTCATTGGGATATTTTTATATACAACTCGTAGCTTTTCTACTATTTGTTTGTTTCGTTTTATCACTTATATCTTCTTTGCATGTTTGGGTTTTTTATTTGTATCTTTGGCAAGGATTAGTTTTCCTCCCTAGCCATACTTTTCCTTATCATCTTAATATTATTTTCTTCTTTTATCAAAATACATAAATAAATAAAAGAACTTCTATTCCTTTTTATTCGATTCATGGTAATTTATGGGACCCTTCACTTCTTCTAATGTTTTTAAAGTAAGATGACTTGTGTATTTTATTAATGACTATTCTTGTCTTACATGATATTTTTTTTGCTCAAACATAACTACGAAATTGACTTTGTCCTTCCAAACATTTACTCTATGTTCAGAAATTTTTTTGGTGCATTCTAAAGAGATTTAAGATGGACAATGCTTGAGGCTATTTCAGTCAAATCTTAATCCTATTTTTTTAAAAAAGTTATTATACATGAATGTTTGTGTGTCTATACCCCCACAACAAAACTGGTTCACAAAACCATTTTTTTGAAACCACCTGAGTCTTTTTGTTTTAGGAAAATGTACCTAAATTCTTTTGGGAAAATATTGTACTTGCAATCAACATCTCATAAATCGATTACTTTCTAAAGTTTTGGGATTCAAGAACCTCATGAACCTTCTATCCACATACTACCCTAACCTACATACAATATATCATCTTGTTCATAGGATATTCAAGTTTGTCTTTTTTGTCCATGTTCACAATCATACTCGAGGGAAATTAAATTCCAAGACTTTGAAGGGTGTCTTTATTGGGTATACCACAACTCAAAAAGCTTCCATGTCATGAAGAATGTCTTGTTCCATGAGCATGAGTCCTACTTTAAGTAGACGGGAGAAAGAAGATTTTTTCTTCTTTATTTTCTGATTTTTCAGTTGATACAAAAGTTGAATTTATAGAGTTTTACATTTCTATTTTATTTTCCTAATTTTAGGAGTAAATGACTACACAATCAGTAGTAATAACTTCTAAAATTTACAGTAATAAATCCTAAAAATATGTAGTAATAACTAATAGAAATATGCAGTAATAAA